AGCCGGGTGATGACCAGGATCGATGTTTAGCGGGAAGAAGAGAAGGCGTCTGAACGGTCTCGGTTGGGATTGTAGTATCAATGAAATGGGGTAGAGAAGGGAGTAACTTGATGTCTTGTGACCAGCACAAGAGAAAACACTGGAAAGAAGAGAGGGCGTCTGAACGGTCTCGGTTGGGATTGTAGTATCAATGAAATGGGATACTAAGGGAAGCGAGTAAGATGCCTTGTACAAGAGAAAAACGGTGGGAAGGGTGTGAGACTGGCTAGAAAGCAGGACTTGGGCCAGGCGTTCCCTTTATACCGTTAAGTTGCCAAATCGGACAACAAAGTGCATTATGCGTCTGTGCTTCTTCCAGGGTTCACGGCGTTAGTATAGCTTAGAAGCTGTGCTGAAACCCCCAAAGGGGAAAACTGGTCGCCTAGGGTCCCGGCCTCTGCACAGAGACGTTAATCCTTAATTCACTTAGAAAATTACAAAAGAAAGAAAATTAAACAAAAAAAAATCAGGAGATATAAATAATGAAACATACAGAGAGACTTCATTTAATTTTCCATGAAGTGCATTCTCCGATAAATGAGCATGCCGGCTTCTCCCAGGCTTATCTACAGGCTTTCTCAGCTCCTAACACCGTGGAAGAAGAGGGGGCATTCGGGGAAAATGCGTCCGGAGGGGCATAACTTTTCGAAAATGAGGCATCGGAAGTACCTCGGTGGAAAAATGACGGTCAACGATTTTCGATTCACTCATCGAGTGTCACTAGTACTTTGTATATGTGTGACGCGGCTTACACTCAGCTCACTCCTCACGCTCATGGGCACCGAGCCTCGCGCATATCAACCGCTTCATGGTGTGTACACCTTGGGATGCTATTCCTCCGCGGTTTTTCGTTCAGCGAGGGCGAAACCAGCTGAGTGTGGTCTCTTCGTTTGGGCCTTCCTCTCCCTTTCATATACTCGTCTGCAATTTGGAGACCTGTGAATATTGATTTCTCTCGTTTCGTGCTTACCGCGCCTCCACTCCGCACCCTCCAACGTCATACTATCATTGAATTGCGATGGTGAAACCCCTCCACAGACTGACCAAGTCCTCAGGCTTGAAGTTGCCTTCACCGCGTCTTCATTCGACATTACACAGTCCTTTCTACACACGCTATCGTATCCGCTAATGCACAAACCTAAAGTCAAGTCTCTTGTTCCCCTGCACATCATCAGAGTGGCTGAGATACAGTAGGAAGAGAGACGCACCTTATCCTCCGTAGTAGCCAGATAATGCGCCTTCTCCTCTCGGGTCATAGCATCCCAAACCTTGGCGCGCTCTGCATTGACCCACATGTAGAACGCCTTTGTCCCCACAAAGAGGGCAACGTTGTACACTGCCAGGCCTATGAGGATGCGGTTCCCCGAGTGATAATACGGCGCATCGTCCGCCTGGTAGATATGCGAGGAGATCACGTTTCCCGCCTGAACACAGACGTTGTACATCGCTGCACTGACTGTGCGGAGGCGTACTGAGCCCGCAGTCCAGGACGCCCAGCCAACGACGATGGCATGGACATAAGGGTAGCCGAGGAGAAGGGTAAGGATGACATAGCGAACCCAGGAGTTTGCAGTGTCTGGCAGCACGGCAAGCGCGACGAGAAGAGGGATAGACCAGAGGTTACCGATCGCACTACATTTGCGTCAGGACGCGGCGGGTCGGTAGCTGAAACTTGGCACATACCTGACGAAAGATCGCTCGTTCACCCTTCTGCTCAACTGGGTTACCAACAACAGCTAGGTATCGTCAGCCTGTGCAACCCCAGGAGTGAGCACAGACCCACGTTGATGATAAACAGCACACTGCTGGGTATCGTAAGCAAGTTAGAGTTGAACGTGCCAAACCCCAGAGCTTTGAGCGTGAGAGTAAGGTACGCTCCCGGCGGCGACGTTGGGATATACCCGGTCAATCCGATCTCCTTCAGAGTCAGCCATGCTCCAGACCATCGTACAAGAACGCACGAGATATATCGGCCAGGAATGATAATCTGTGAAACACTGCCATATAAGCTTGGGCGTAATCGCCTGCCGGTTATGCATATCCCCCTTCGTGGGATCGTCTCTCAAGATCCGATTGACCATGATCACTTCTTCTCTTGGACTGAACCAGCCGGCCCGGCCGCGGAACCACGAAGCGGTTTGGGTGGGCGAGGGGGGCATGAGGCCGAAAGATAGCAAACCTACGATCTGTGCGAGGTCAGTGCGAGGTGGAGTGGCGGGAGAGGGCATACCAAGGTAACTCCTCCTTCGATCAGAAAGAGATACCTCCATCCAGCGAGCCCATTTACACCACGCATGTGGAGAATGCCGTACGCCATAAAGGCCGAAACGATCGTTGCTGGCAAGTGTCAGCTGAGAAGGGCAAAAGAGGGAAGACGGACGTACTAAGCGTGCTGGCGGTCCAGAAGAAGCTGAGTCGGACCGGAAGTTCTCTGCGCGTCGTGAGTATGTGTACGGCATGCAAGCTTAAAGTCACTCACTTCCCCTTGTAGAAGTAGCTCAGAAAGAGGACCATATCGGGGATGAAACTGGGCTCATCAGTTCCGGGGAAACACGGCTGTGGGGGCAAATTTTCTTACCCTCCTTCCATGACGCCCAGCAGACCGCGAGTCACAAAGAAGCTCGCCTTGCCATTCAACGCCGCCTGAGACATGGCAACCACGGACCACAGTGACATTTGACTTCCCAGATCAGAGTGGTGGACGCTTTTGCAGAACTGAGGGAACTCACATTGGCAACCAGCGATCGGGACCTAAGCGTTTGGAGACGAGCTGAGACGGGACCTAGGGAGTGTCGGTATCCTTCCCACGAGGCTGTGGGGGGACGTACCTCGGCTGTGAGGAAACAAAGGTAGAAAATCATGTTACCGTTATTGTAGTCGTTTGTGGAGAGCTGCGGAAAGAGGTAAGCTGGGGATATATGGATCCCGCCGAAGTACGTACGTTCAGATCGGTGAGCATGTTGTCTGTAAGGGCGAAGGAAAGGTTTCCGCGATCCCTGTGAACAAACATCAGAGTATGCACCGAGTTTCTACACCACTCTGCCGTACAGCTGAAGCGCAAAAAACATTATGCATGTCCAACACTAGATACAGTCAGCGAGTGATTAAACAATGGGAAGAAGACATACCATGATCCTCAAGTCAATCTTACGAACGATGCGCTTCTCCTCGTCCTGCGTCCACGTTGCCTTGGGATCAAACCTATGATATCCTTCGTACTGCTTGATAGGCTCAAGATAGGGTGCCAGATCTGCATCTAAAAAAGGATTTGGATCGGCAGATCCGTTCTTGAAACTGGAGGCAGAAGAGTCTGTTGGCTGGGCTTCGATGTCGACCTTGTCATCTTCCATGGGTGATACAGCTGCTATCTCGTTGAGAGGATCCATGTTGAGCAACGTTCCGGTCCAAGCTCAGATAACCAGAAGCGTAGATCACATAGAGTGGAGTATTTAAGCGTCATCTAACAGGCACCAGGCCAAAGCCGGTGTAGACCCCGGTCGATCACCCCTTGCACACCATAATGGCAACATTCTGGAGAATACCATAGACAACCCTTTGAATTTTTGTATAGCCTCTGGCATCATTCTTGTGAAGTATGAGTACAGCGGCGAAGTGTGTGCTCTAAACCGACGAGTCGAGGTTGCACGCCAGAAGAAGCCGTGAAGGTGCAATACCATCGATCACGTGACAGAGACACCACTGACATTATTGGACAATTTACCCTTTGTCCATCGCTATATCGCCGGAGAACTCAGGAACCGTGAATGCTCATGAAATAGATGGGAGCTCAGAAACCATAGTAAATTATCCTCACCCAAGAGAAGGCAACCCCTCGCGGCGGACAGCCTGACCATAAGTAATGTGCCTGTGATGTCAGACATGTCCCGATCTCGTTTCTTTGAAGAGTTGAGCTTGGTATCGAGAGAAGCCATCATTCCAAGCGTATGTGGGTGGAGTCGACTGATATTAAGTGTACTTCGTGTGGTTCTGTGGAGGCAGCGACCCTTTTCGCGTGTATGGACCCAACTGATCTCGGGGGATAGCGGCACGAAAGTAGCCAATCCGCTTTCCAGGAGTAATACTGCTTAAGTGAAGCTGGGGATACCGACAGATGAAGCAATTTAGGTCTCAAGTTAATGAGGAGACGCAGCAAACCTGGGAAGAGAGAAAGAGAGGGAGTAAACGACGTGATATGCGGGTGCTAGCTGGGGTTCAACAGGGCTAATTGAGGGGCTGGGAGGAATTGCCGCGCTGAGCCGCGCGTGGCCGCGTCAGGGTCCCAATTGGGCGGAAGTCGAGTGTTGACATCAATAAGCCGCTGATTATTTGAGTGAAGAGTAATAATATAGTCCAATGTTCCAATGCAGACAGGGACTCCAGATGTGTGGGCAAATTGTTGATTATTACATTGAAAAGTAACAAGATATTTTGATGTCATTACCAAAGGGGCAAGGACCCGCACCGAGGGGTGCCGCGCTGTTCACGAGTTCACTGCAGAGATCCCATTCTAAGTGGGTGAAACGCCGCGTAACTCGATCACGTGAGCCGCGCAGGGGCGCGGCTCACGTGATTCAACAGTGCTCTCAGGATTGCTCGATTTGGTGAAGTTTTCAAGATTTTAAAGAAACAACCACAACAAAAAAAACAGGGGATGCCAACGTTATTGTTCTGTCTACCAAACTACTTTTCAAGCAATATTGAACGGTGAGTGAGAATGTGTGTTGACCGGCCGGGTAGAGTAGCCCGTCCTGCGCGGCAGACGCGGCAAAATATCCCTACCCGCTGTTGAGCCACACAAACCACACGCGTCTTGTCATCACTCCATCCATGCATGTCCCCCCCATCATGGCGTCAACGCCGTTCACGGCTCATTTCTCTTCTCTTCTACTCTCTTCAACATGCGACCACTACTAGAGATCCTCATTCTATCGATGAAGATGCTCTCGGACAGAACCTGAATGCGACGTTGGAGGGCAAGCATGATCCTGGTGGGTTGGATGAACTGCGTTGGAACCAGAACACCTAATGCAAGTACAGAGATCGAGGTGCTCGCTTTCAGCAACAAAGATATCGTCAAACTCGGACGGCTCGCACATGGCACGTACGGTGCGGTATGCGAACAACTTGGTCCAGAATTGCACTGATCTGACGTGAGCCTCAGGTTGACATGGTCCGATGCAAGCTTGATAACCAGACATATGCCCGCAAGACTCTCTCAAAGAGCTTCGTGCGTCGTGCCAGAGACGTATGTTGGCTCTTATTTGCTTCTACACCCCAACAATCGACTCAGATACACTCCTTTTAGCAATGTTTTCCCACCACTGAGCGCGTCATCCACGCCTGCGCCAGTACCTCACGCACGCCCTGGGCGCCACACTTGATCGCTGCCTATCAAACATCTCTCGAACTATCCCTCCTGACGGATTATGTGGATGGCGGCACGATGGGGGATCTTCTTGAGTTTGCACAACATGGGATCCGTGACTTCGAGCTGCGGTGGTGGATTCCCCAGGCTGTGGCAGCGGTATGTTGGCTGCATGAGCAGGGTTTCGTTCATCGGTATATCCTGCTCATACTCCGTTCAAGTGTATTGTTAACCAGCCTTCAGTGATATCAAGCCCGCCAACTTCCTGATAACAACAACGTCGCATCTGAAGCTCACCGATTTCGGCAGTGCCGCACGCCTCCTCCCGGTATCGAAGGATGGCATCCAGCGAGTGCCAAAGGAGGTATGCAACCAGTTGTGCGGCACAGTCGATTATATATCTCCCGATATGTTGGAATACGATGAGCAAAAGAACGAGGCGGACGAGGTGCAAGAAGATCTCGTTTGTGAGGGATATGGAAGGGAGACGGATTGGTGGAGCTTGGGAGTGATGGTGTATGAGATGGCGTATGGGGTGCTGCCTTTCTTCGCAGAGAGGATGGAGGATACCCTGAAGAGAATTGTGAACCACCAGGTACGAGTCACGTTCTCTGCATTGTCCTTTTCCCAGCTAACCACCGTCATCGCCAAAGCGCACTTTCCAATTTCCTAGTGACTTGCCGATCTCAAGCCTGCTAAAATCACTCATTCAGCGGTGCGTTCCCTGTCTGCGGACTAGATCAACGTCTGATTCCCGCAGGCTTCTCACCGACGCCGGTTCGCGTCTGGGAAGAAAGAGTCTATATGAAGTTCAGAAGGACGAATACTTCCGAGGAATGCCATGGTCGAACCTCCATAAATGTGCGACTGCTTTCCATCCCAAGACAGCTCCTGATTGTACCACAGTGTCTCGCCCCGATGGTCTGCTTGTACCTCAGTTCACAGATTCAACGGACGTGAACAACCCATCTCCTGAGCAAGAGCAAGGGAGCGAGCCCGCATCCTCCTTCCCCTCCGGGTCGTTTACTACCATCCAAGCTGAATCCACCCTCCGGTCCAAAGCGGAACAGATTGATACCAAGATTGTCTCGCCGACTGACGGCTTCACATGGGGTCCGCTTGTGGATGCGTTTGATCAAGCTCTCGGTCCGTCCGCCGTATCTTTCATTCATCCCACGCCCCGAGTTCTTCGAAGACCGACTGTCCCACCGTCTGCTTCACGATTGAGGAGGGATGTAAGCTATAGCACACCTCTTCGTTCGGGAAGACAGATCCTGGGCACCAGCACTGTTCGGCGAACGAGAGCGATGTCCGAACGGCAGGCCCTCCAACAGCTGATGTCGGCTGTACGAGAAAGTGCCCACAAGAAAGTGCTGCAGAGCGGGAAGAAGACACACATTCGCTTCACAAGAAGGGAGAGGGCGATCGTGCCGATGGGCAAATCCGCAGGCGTTGACTTGGAAGACGATGCGGACCTTACTTTCCGGACCGCTGATGGACCTCCCAGCCCCAGCCCGCGACCCGGCAGTTCTATGGCACGAACTCGACCCCCATCCCGCGCAACGCCGACCGAAGAATGGCCAAGTCTTGTCCATGAGAAAGAGATGCCTAACAAGTGGGAGGATATGCACAGGCGGATGCGAACGCTAGCAAAGGGCGTTGAGGATGCGGAGAAGAGGTTGAATGAACTCAAGGTCCTTGTTTGATGATATTCCCACTCACGCTGCCCTGTGTCACTAGGGTATTATTTGTCATCAGTGACAGAGTGCAGCCACTCACAAGCTCAAGCTCTATGAGTTACCTTGATCGTTATCAGGCACTTGTTCCCTGAGGTTTGCGTTTATACAGCTGGTTATATCCTTGGAAGAATACTTCTCGAAGCCCAGACCGCTGAGCTCTCCTGAACGTCAACAATGGCGCAAGCCCGCAGGATGGACGGGATGCGAGGAGGCCGAAGTTTTGTGAGCTTATTCATGGTCCTATTCCAGGCGTTTGACGCCGCCTTCGCCTCAGCGTGTTGTTCCTTCGGTATCTTGGCACCTCTGTCGTGAATGTCACGATTGAAGCGCGGGTCTTGGTTGACCCGGTGATGGACTTCTTTGTCACGGATCTTATGTGCATATGTGGCTAGCGCCATGGAACGATGAAAGGCATCCTTGTACTGGGTAGCTGCCTGGGTGAGCTCGGCTACACTTTGCTGATACTTTGTATGGGGATCATCCGAGGGGTAGAGCCCCGGCAATTCGTGCATTATTTCTTCATTTCTCGTCTGTTCAGCTTCTTTCCTACCAATGTCTCACCTCAGCATATACAAGATTAGAAGAGTGTACGCAGTTGCTACTTGTTAACATCTGTCAAGCGTGTTCCACCTATTCATGCAAGGCCGGCTGCACGTCTCCCAGCCCCAGCTCGCCGCGTACGACCGAGCTGCCCAGATCCAGAAAGAGTACGTGCAACTGCAACACGTCGCCTATGTGTACTGGGAACAATGGACCCTCACGACGTCCATGAAGGACTCGGATGTCCTTGCCACTATATCCTCCTGGTGGGCACTCGTTTCCAGCGGATCATAGACCAATGTTGTTTTCAACTGCGCCCTCGCCTCGTGTACCACAGTGACCTCTTCCAGAGAACAAAAACAGACCAGCCATGAGCTCGTTCCAACGTACCACGAACGCATGGCAGGACAGGCGACCCGATTGAGGCGTTGACAGCTAGGAAGGCGTGCAAATTCCGCATCCGCCTCCTGCTCGTATCCGACTCCATGCTCGTCGTGCAAGTTTTGGGGTGTATGATACCTAAGGTCTCATACAAGGACGTTCTCCCTCTCGTGAGGAAAGAGAACAAGGCGCTTGTGAGTACAAGGCTTCCATCTGTTTGGTCTGGTAGACTCACTTGGGGCGGAACTGTAGGAGCGTAGCAGCAAGCACAAGATGCATGAAAAGTCCACGGAGATGCAACCGTCCACCTTGAGAGTGTGTTAGGATGGGCCACAACGCCACCCTCCATTGTCACGGGGCAGATCACAGACTTGCATGCAGAGGACCGAGCAATAGCATGCATGTACAGCACCCTCTTAGAATCCCTAGAACGCCCTCACCCTCTTGGTGGAAGACGACGGACTTAAGGAGCTCTAACTCGCATGGGTCCGGATGGACGAGTATATCCAGCTCTTCCGTCAAGAGAGGATCTCGAGGCCTAGCACAGACAGGGGCTTGCTGGACGAGGGTGCACTTGGGCTCTGGGTGCACTTCCTTCCGTGGGAAGATGGTACGTTCCTACCTTGCTCGTTTACTCGACTTACAAGGCACAGAAATACTCGAACGAGAGACCATGCTCACCCAACATGCGGCGCTCTTCACCCTCAGAACGTACGTTCGTAGCACACAAAATACGACATCTTCTGCGCACCATGGTACGAACCTGTGATACCTCTCCTTCCTTCCATCCCTGCTGCCTGCCCCATGAAGAACACGCACCGGCAGGATCAGAACCGAGAACTGTAATCCCGTACTCCGGTCCCCAACAGGCCTAGCAGCAATCATGCTCTTCTCCCTCCGAGCCTCCCTCTCCCCTTCTCCCCTCCTTCGCCTCTCGCCTCCGTTCCACGGCCAATGAACCACACGCTCCCGCCACCAGCCCTCGAACACGGCCCACGTAGTAAGACAGCTCGAAGTCATGGGGACTCTTCAATTGATCGTCTGATGACAATTCATACTATCACCGCCACTCTCCTTGTTTCTAATCATGTCATCCTTCCATCCATTCACACATGTACATCGTACCTTGTACAAGTTGGCCTCGTCTAAAATCATTCCTTCCCACCACCTTGGTTTGTAGTATCGTGGGTTGTAGCGCCTTGGTTTGTAGGAGCAACATGCTCTGCCAAATGCTTCACGAGCTGGTGAGTCCTTCCCTCCGCCTTAAAGTGTCTCGAGGGTGGATGTTGAGTGTATGCCGTATACTGCCCGATGTAGCATGACCGGGTGTGGGAGTTGGTCACCTTTGATTGCTTTTTTCACCGCAAACTTCAACCTGCGATGATGGTCGTTTTGTGTGGCTGTCAGCTGCTCGTGGATCTTTACGTGCAAAACATGCGCGATCTTCCATTCCTCGTGCGGCTTGGGCCCCATTATCCTGTCCGGATGCTCCAAGTTTTTCTTTTCGAGTTCCTTCGCTTTGTTGTGGGCATCGGCTAGATCCATCTTCGCCTGCTTGAGCTGGTGTTCTAACACCGGAAGCACGGTTTGATGCAACCTCTCCTGTTCCTCCTCAGCCACATCGTACTGCGCTTGGGTGATCTCTACATGGAGTGCTGCGTGTCCATACTCCGACCATGCTAGATCTGCCTTAAGTTCTGCTTCTCGTACGCCAGGTCGTACTACGGAAGGTCCTGGGCGCCACCTGCTTTGCATGGCGGCGAATGACGTCGGAGGAGGACATGGGAAACCGGCTTGCTGCGAGCATCCTTCCTCCACGCCTGATGGCAAGGGTAGCGGCAGTGCGTGCACAATGATCGTGGTCGCAAACAGGGCAATAAGGAATACCAAGTGGGTGTGCATCGAGTGCAATATGTTCGCATATGATGAGGGGTAAGAAAAGATGACGACAGCAATCGAATGTTGGATTGGATGATGGTATTTGCTTGAAGAGAGGTTCGGTGGTGATTGTACTCCCAATCAGATGTGTGAAGGAAGCGATAAGGTGGCTTGTGACCAGCACAAGAGAAAACGGTGGGAAGTGGGTGTGAGCGCAGCTAAAGAGTAGGACTTGGGCCAGGTCTCCCTCTAAATAATGGATGACATCCCACAGGAATGGCGTTTCAAAAGCTGAAACAGCGGTTCCCCTGGGTACAATTACCAGTGCTGGCACAGGGAAGAGGTATTTCCTCCGATGCCCCGTTTTCGGAAACAAAATACCTGTAATGCCCCTCCGGGAGAGCCATCAGGATTCGTCTGAATCGGCCAAAAATGTGCTTCCATGTCCGGACATTTTTAGGGTCCGTGACCGGTGGAAGCAATTAGGTTCCATAGGGCACGGATGTATTTAGGTTAGGTCCCGCTTACAAATATTTGGTCCCGTGTGCAGCCGTTCTATGTCCGTGCATTAATGGTGTTACTGTGTTTAATGCTGTTAGCAACAGGCCACAGGACTGGTAATGGTAGGGCCAGCAGTTGATCCCATATACAGCTGCTCTATGTCCACGGGTTTATGGCGTTAATGCCTCTATTGCCATTAACAATGGGCCACAGCACTGGGAACAGTGAGGCCAATGGTTGATCCCATGTACAGCCGCTCTAAGTCCACATGTTAATGGCATTAACAGATGTATCACTGTTAACAACATGCCACAGAACTGTGAACCATAAGGCCAATGGTTGCTCCTGAGCAGTCATTAAAAGCCTCATCTGCATGCATTCTCCTCTCCCTCACCATTCTTCTCTGCTCTCACTCTCCACCTCCAACAAATCTCAACTTTTAATCACTGTCAACAATGCCTCCCAGAAGGACCAACACCATCAATACTGCCATTACCAATGTTAATGCACCACACTCAAGTCTAGCCATGTGGAGGAAAGAAGAGGCTGACCAGTGGGCTGCCCTCTGCAAGTTCTGGTCAGTGGATGACAGAGAGCATCCAGCTTGGGCACAGAATAAGGATGATCTGGGGACATACAGGGTAAGCATTATAGTGATGTTGGAAATGTTTTACTAACATACTAAACAGGATGTTGCCCATAAGTACATTGGGGACTTCACTGGGGATGTGCTCTGCTGGATGACCAAGGGCATGGTAGAGCATTTGGGTCCCAGTGCTCAGGCCATGTGGATTCATATGCACATGGTATGCACCAGTTACTGTTATCGATGGTAATGATGGTAACAACAGTAACAGAACAGACATGGAGTTGTAGAGGCTGACTATGAACTCAATATACCTGAGCTCCCCTCCACTGCAGAGCAGGCCATCCTGCACAATGTGGAAGGTGCCACAGACCCTTCCCCCCCTCCCCCTCCTCAACCCAAGCCTACTGCGGCGAAGAGGAAGAAGCCCCTCAACCTTGTTAGCAAGGTTACCATCACCATGGAGAAGGCTCCCCACCATTACCCAACATGCCAAAATTGTGGGTGTCCCCAGAAGTCTTCAAGTGACAGCATGGATGCCATAGAACCCCTCCCCAAGCAAAGGAAGACGGCAGCAGGCTCCAAGAAGACTCCCGCCCTTTTGGCCACCAATAACAACAATAACGGCAATACTGCCAATAATGATGACCCAGAGACCCAGGATCAGCAAACTGCAAATGACAGGTCCAGTCAGGAGAAGAGCACAGAGGAGGGAGGAAACAAGCAGGATGACAAGGAAGATGAGGAGGAGAGGGAGTATTGTGTGACCAGGGACCCAATGAATGCAATGAGTAGTTTAATGGTGTTAATGTGGATACTGTGGTTCATAACTCGAACAGGACCTTGTTGAAGATGGGGTGTACCACTGTAATGCCAACAACATCAAAAACAAGGCAATTCCTCCTCCCCCTCCTGAAGGAAAGTGGCTCTATTTCCCAGTCGCTGTAAGTAACTTACTTTTCATTTTCATTTCTCTTTCTGAAGTTTTTGTAGTGTGAGCCATGCCACCAAAATCACATGAAGTGCTTTAGGCTGCCTGGCATTTCAAAGAAATGCTACAACTGCTGCATCAAGCATGGGAAGTGTTGCAATGTTGGCCTTCTAGGTAACATTAACCATGGTAACACCAGTAACAATGCTAACTGAAACACTCACAGATGGCTGTTTGCACTGCACTGCTGTGAAGAGCAAGAGGACCAAGGGGCAGATTACCCAGGAGATCAAGGCCCTCCAGGATCATCTCAAGGACCTGAAGGAGGAATGCAAGGAGGCCCCAGACACTGAGTCTGAGAGTGAGGGGAGTGGTGAGGATGAGTGATGGTAATGCTGGTAACCTTGTTAATGGTGTGTCTGCATCAGGTGGGGCAGTAAATAGAAATGCCCATAGTTTTTTTTTCTTTTAATACATCCCATTCATTCTACTAAACTTGATATTATATCTAAGTGACTGAGCATGAAGTAGAGGCAGCAGGTGGACTTTTAACACCGCCATGGAGGGTGCTAACATCATTACTGTACTTAATGGCATTTCTGTCACCTATTATGTCTCACCCCATCTAAGTCCTCCGTTTACTGGCGTTAATGGTGTGAATCAGGACTTCAGTGATTTGCAGAACCTGTGTGCATAGGCAACAGGTTTATCATGCTTCTGAAGGCATATAAAGTATATTAGTGGATTCTAAGTCAAAAGGTACTGGGAGTGTTGCATTCATGATGGCAGAGCTGACTTCACCATTTTGCGTACCATAAGTGTGTGTGTAATGGTGATACTGGGTTTGAAGGGCTGGTATATTGATGAAAATGGATACATAAGGTGTGAACCCTTTTGGGAAAGTTATGGCATGTACCTGCAACATCCATTGCACAGTCAGAAGACATGGGGGGCATCATATTGAGGGGGTGCTGCTAATGGTGGTAACAATGGTAATGACAGTAACAGGCGTCTTTCTTGAAAGTTCACTTCATACACACTGGGAAAACATTGGGGGCATCATTGGAGGGAGTGCTGCTAAGAGTGGTACCTACATTAACTATGGTAACCACAGTAACATGTAGATTTGTTAAAGGATCAATGCACAGCACTAGGCATGTTGTCCAAGAAACAAGGGACACATACACATTGGAAGGTTACTGGTGTTACCATGCTTGGCTGCCTCAGCCTGAGAAGCCAGTTGCACCTCAGTGAACCATGCCAGGCCTTTAAATGGGTTTTCCAGGAAGCCCCTGGTGATTTCAAAAGACCTGAGCTCCATAAGATCTTTGTCATGAGGAATGTCTTTCCTAACTGAAGGCCCTGCAAGTCCCGCAAAAGGAAAAGGGACTCCTTCCTTCCCCACACCTTGCCACATTCCATCCACCAAGACTTAAATGTTCCAACTTGCAGCCATACAAAGTTCTGTTGCAAGCTCAAGCTGTGCACAAGCAACACCATAGAGTTTGGCTGGCAAGAGCTTTAATGGCACTACCATTGTTAATGTGGATAACATACAACCATTCTGTGGCAAAAACCTGTGGAATACATGCTTCTCATTGGTATTTCAGGCAAGCAGGCCTGTGTGGGGAATGGGATGTAATGGGTGCTTTGTAGCAGGGAGTGCATGCATTAGATCACATTTCTTGGCCTTGATTTTGTGGCCCTGGCAAGCATCTAATGGTGTTACCATCATTACCAATGATAATGCAGGACAGCATTTCAGCATACCTTCAGCATTTCCCACAGAACACTGCCTCTGGAGATTGTAGCAATTCCAGCCAGACTTGAACCAATGTCCTTTGGTCTTGAAACAGTCCTTGCCATGTTCCTCACAATAGGTGCACTGATGAAATCATCTTGGATGGACTCAGGGCATATGGTAAATGGCACATACTTTGGCAGGCATAGGAATCTGATCTGCAACATCTGGCAGGTCCTTGTTTCCATGTCTAGACTTGCTGGCAGATTTGGGGTCTGTAGTAGGGACAGTGGGCTCCATGGTAATGCTTTGAGTGCTCACAAGAGGTGTGTTAATGATGGTATCCCCAGTAATGTGTTGCTTCATTGTGACCTTTTGCTTCATGGGTGCCATGTCTCCTCCAGACCTTTTCTTCTTCATCCTAGACTTCTCCTTAGCCTTCTTACTCATTTTGGAAGACATGAGACACAAGGAATGTTCAAGCTAGGATGGCTTTGGCTGGATGCAAAGGTTATGGTGGTGGTAAGTGTGCAAGCAGTGTCATGTGGGCATATGGCCAAGCTGCCCAGCAAGGCCCCATGTCCATTGGGGAGTGCTGACCCTGAGGTTTAGAAACCTTGGAACTGTCTCAGGGTTGTCTGGTAACAATGGTAACAATGTTAATGATGGTAACTGCAATGAATCACAATATTAACAATGTACATGTTGGGCATTTCATTCTTTGGCCCCTCTACCTTTCAGTGAGCTACAACATAGTCCATCACCCACTTTCCACATTACTCATTTGCTTGGATGTGCCAGAGCAAACTGCTTCCAAAGTCAATGAGGAAACTTTTCATTCCATTCCTGCAAAGCTGTAGCAGGTGCTTGCTTCCATACTGTATACTGGCATCAAAGATGTCTCTCTGAAATCTTGGTATTGCCCACTACTTCCTCTGCAGCTGCTTTCCAAGTCCTTCTTGGGGGACCCATGTGGATGTTATGATACATTTGCAATATCATGAATACTTCTTTGAAGGATGCTGCACCAGGCCAGTTTGCAGGTGATGGTGCAGAAAAATGGATCAGCTCAATGACAATGGGGTCATCTTGTGAGGAAATGCTGACAACAGAGTTGGTTGAGGAGGACACGCTGATGACTGAGGTAGCCCATGGCTTCTTGCTGGGGGTCTCCAGGGCATCATATTCAGATGAATCATGATTCATAGGATGCTTTTTTGGGGAAGGGCCACTCATTGTGAAGTGCTGATGAATCTCTTGCTGCACATGACTGTCTTGTGCTATCACCTCCTGAGCCTTCAGAACCACACATTTGTGAAGTCTGAAGGGTATAACTTGGCCAGGTCCCATCTCTACCCAACAAGCTTGGTTCTTGTCAAGCACAGGAACAGTCCAAGCATTTGTGCTCATAACCACCTTGCAAACGGACTTCACATGGTGAAGTACAGAGGGAATTCAGTCCACCATATTGGTGTATAAGTTTCCTGGTCCACCCTGCAACTTCATACCAGGTACTTCCACAGGATTTTCATCCTGCAAGAGGGTGGTCAGCAACAGGAACCACAGGAAGGGCAAACTGGTAACTGCATGGCAACAATGTTATCACAATGATTCAATAGCTGTGGAAGCATACAACCATATGGATAATGGCATTACCATCATTACCACTGTTACCAGGTATGTCAAGGGGATTGACTTGCCTCTGCCAGTATCACCATGGTGAATAGGTGCAGAAGAGCAGACTCCATCATCTTTGGTGTTTTGTTGCTGTCCTCATCTATGTTGTTCTTGACTTTTCCAGTTGCAGCATATTCTGCACAAGACTGGAAGTATTCTTTTCCCCATCCAGGCTGGAGTGCCTTGCCCACCCAAATGGGGGTGATTGGTGCAGGTGTTGGACTGGAGTATGTGGTGGCCCTGGGTTGACTGGATGGCTGGATGGACTTGAGAATACTGGCTACTGTACTTGGCCAAATTTGGTTAATGACAGACCAAATTGCATTGTCAGTGCCCATCATGACTGATATGAAGACTTAGTTTTTCAATGCTACTGATATGAGATTTGTACTCACTGATATGACCAGGTGCATCACACTTGACCATGGGTCCCTCTGAGCTGCCTTCACAAAGGGTAGTATTGCGGTTAATGGTATTACCAATGTTAACGGCAATACTGCCTCTAGGACCTCCCTTCAAATTGTTGCCCTGCTGCTCAAGGCAGCACTTCTTGCACCTCATATTTTGACACTTTTGATGAGGATGTTGACTGCAACTTATGCACTTTGTGGCATTGCCAGGGTATTTGACAGTGGAGGTGGGCATAGATGGTGTAGCATGCCCTTGAGGCAGTCCATATCGAACCCCATCTGGGGTTACACCAGGGCCCTTTGGAAAGCCATTTGCATGACCCCACTTAGATGAAGGAGGAGAAGGAAAGTTGGTGTCAGGAGGTGAGTCAGGGAAGCCAGTCGGTCCCTGGCAATGCAGAGTCTTCAGCTGTTGCTGGTCTGCTTCAGGCATCTGGTGGGATATCCAGATGAACTGGTGCTTGCACCATTGGCACTGGGAGAACTTTAGAAACAATTGTACTGTGCCGGAATTTTGTTAGGCACACCTTGGTCCATAATAATCCCCAATGCAGCTCTGTGAAAGCAATCAATGGTTCCAGGTATTTCCCCCCACACTCAGCACAGTACCAATGCTTGACATCTTCTATTGCCCAGTGCATCTGCTTTGGGTGTTGATGCCAGTATTGAAAGATGGCTTCAATGAGTTTTTTCTTAGCAGAAGGCATGCCAGATTAGGATCTGTCTGAGGGTATGGATGTGAGGAAAGTCTTTTTGCAGGAACAGGAAAAAACTGTCATTTGGTTAGGGAACCACATTATGTCAGCACAGCAGGGGTTGTGTGCATAAGTCCGTTATTAATGGTGTTACTGTTCATAATGGTGTTACTGGCTCTACTGGCTGTACTAACATTTTCCTTATGATTTCTCTCTTGCCCCTTATCTTCCATTGTGCTGCACATTCAAGTTTTGAGCTCAAATCCAACCTTCGAATGCCTCTTCAAACGACCCCTCAAATTCAGCCAGACCAGACTATTGGAAGCAAGAAGTGGACCCTTAGACATAGCATTAGGTAATGTAGATTAGATATAGATTAGTAGTAGTCCAAAGGTCTGAACCACTCCAAACATATATAGGTGGATTCAGATACTTTGGATAGGGATGCTTGGACATTTCTCCTACTTACTATCAACTGCACTCATTCAAGATGGGTGTCTCTCTAACTTACAACTAATACTACTGCTTAACTTAAAGTCAATCCTTGCTCTAGTTCCCTCTTAGACTGATTCAAGCCTCAATTTGACTGCTTGACCTTTGGAAGCCACCTTTGTTCACCTCATACAGCTTGTTCCCATTCCACTTGTCATTTGGACTCCCTTCAGACTGCTGCGACAGGCCTTGGAGCTCACACCAGACTCCTCAGATTGGCATTTGAATGGCTCTATTGTAGGAGACCATGATTTGATTAGGTTGGATTTTGTCTAGTACTATCTACTATGATGTACAGGCCACCACTATTGACTCCCCCTCCAGCGAACCTTCTCCTGACGCCTCATTGGGAGGTGTAGAGTACACCATACTATCAATATAACATAATGTTTCTATACATGTGCTAGCTACTGTTCATTCTTGCCATCCTGAAAATAATCAAGTGGGAGCACATGTGGGTTCTTTTTCTGTTTCTTCAGTGTGTCAACAAGGAATGGGTTAGGCTCCTTGCTCATTTCACCCAAGAAATAATTGAAGCAAGTGGCATTGAGGTCATGAACCCTTGCATCATGGCCTTTCAGCCAGACATTGCACCACTCAGCTGCAGAAGAGTTGAAGACCCAGGACTTGGTAGTGATGTTGTAGAGTGCTGGAAAAAGGAGTGGGTTACAGTGCTATCCACAATAAGCATCATTCTCACTATGCTTTGACTTGAAGTGGAACACATCGACAGGTTGAACCATTCCAGTAAAATGCTGATCTCCTTGAGCTGCAAGGTGACAGTGTCAATGGCAGTTGTTGTCATAGAAGAGCACATCAGGGACCAAGTTTTTCATTGGAAAGACCACTTGTAGCATGTCCTAGGAGAGGAATCAGCAACTGCTAGAAGGTCAGATAATATTCTTACAGCCACAGATGAGATTGCTTCAGCACCAAAGAGAGTGGCATGGGCAACAACAATTCCACAGGAGCAGACAATCAGTTGTTCATTATGTGTCCATGACTGACCCAACTTTGCCTTGAATGACTGGTTTCCAAAAGCACTCTTCTTATCACAAAGCTGTTGAGCTTCCTGAAGAAGTGGGAGAAGATGGTGGAAGTCCTCCATCCCTGGAGATGTAGCAGTGGGAACCTTGAGAATGTTGTTAACCCCAGTATCAACAGTATTGCCAGCATCCTTGTTAACTCTGGTAGGGGCCTGTGTACAAGTCAAAGGCTGAATGGTTGTGTGTGCAGCAAGGCAGTGGGTAAGGTGAAGCATTGATTTCCCCCTTTCTTCATACATAGTTTGAACATATAAGTGCTCAGGATCTGAACATGTGAGGCAGCCTTGTTGGACCAGCTGAAAACACCCCTGAATAGAGCAGATATTCTGCAACTCTTTATGTGTGTTGCAGAACCTAGCAGTGATAGCTGGAAGGTCTTCTGAGCAATTGTGGACTGAACAACAAGGATGTCCAATGGTAATACCATCTGTAATGGCAGCATGGATAGATCCTGTACTGTTGTGAGAACAGAATCAGTGAGAGAAGGAAGGTAGCTCATGTGTGGTGCCATTATCATCAACCAGGCGGAAACAACTATCACATATGTGACCCCATTGCTCTTGGCCAATGGTTGCAATGAACTGATTTCAGATTTTCATGGCTTCCTTCAACCTCTCCCTTTGAGTACCCCATTTCTTGCCAGCTGGTGGGTGTTTGGGCAAGATAAGAATGGTTCCTTGCTTGGTATGATGTTGTAGGAGGCTGTTGAGGTAGATAGAGTCCCAGATATATGATCCATGGAGGACAGGAAAAGAAGAGAAGGAACTGTCCTGAGGTGGTTGCACAAGGGAACTCATGTAGATCTGACTCATTGCCTGCCCACTGAAGCTGAAAAGGAATCAGCATACAGTGCTGGTAACAGTGTTAACAATGTTAAATATGGTAACAAGACAGTTCAATGGTTATGAAACCACAACTGTCACATTAACATTGTTACCATGGTAACAATGCTAATGCTGGTAACAAAATGGTTCAATGGTTATAGAACCACAACCAATGTGTTAACACTGTTACCATGTATAATGGTGTTACTGTCAGTGCCAGGAAATGTAAATGCAAAATAAACTTACTGTGCATGAAGTGCCTGGCTTTTGAAAAAGGCAGCAAGAGCACCATCCACCAATACATGTGTTTCCACATGTAAAACCTCAGGACGTCCTGGGTAATAGTGCCATACCTCTATTCCATCAGAGCCCTTTTGCCAAAAATAGTTGAGGTAGTATGTTGTGTGGCAGTCTGTGTGACAAGGAAAGAAGTACATGACTGTTGTAGCTGATTTGGAAGAAGAACATACTCTGGCAGGATAAAGAGGACACATGGACAGGTACAACCCCATTGTGGAGGGTAAAGAGATGTGCCATATTGCGGCATAGGTGGGTGAGTTGTGGATTTGAGGGACAAGAGGCCTGAGTACAGTTCCTTGTTGGGGGGAAGAACTCTTCAACACCTGGGGGTACAATGAGAGGTCTGCATCTGGAGATGAAGAGAAGACCAAACTGAAATTATGCAGTGGACCATGGTCTAGAAGGGGACAAATAGGATCCACAAGGTGGGGAGTTGGGTGTATTCCAAGGTAGCCTCCTCGCCAGGTGAATGGGCCAAGAACTTGCCATAGTGTTTCAATGACAGATCCATGAACAGCAAAGACAGTGGCAAGAAAATCAATGACAGATTGTGGAAGGATGGCAGGTGCACAATCAATGTGCAGTGCACCTCCCCAAGCAATGATGGGTTGTAGATGCAGTACAAGTGCTTGGAACAGCCAGAGTTGTTCCAAAGACAGCATTCCAAGTACTGGAAGATTGCCCCAGATAGCTTGAACAAAATCTGTAACTAGCATATCTAAAAAGAAAATAAGTAAAGCAGTGATAATGGTAATTTTGCACTGAGGAGCATTAACCATGGTAATGATGGTAACAGTGGTAACAAGAATCACTGTGGTAACACTGTTAATGTGGTGCAGCAGGCATATGTATTATTGTTTCCACACCCAGAAGTAAAGTAAATAATAGTTCCACTGTCCAGGGAAGCAACCAAATAAAGCTCCCACTGGCCAATTTTTGCCCCCACCAGACATTTTCTGCTCCCACCAGCCATTTTTTACTCCCACTGGCCATTTTTCACTTCCACCAGCCAAAAACTGCTTCCACCGGCCAAAAATAGCCCCTGCTGGCCATATTTTGCCTCCTCCGGCCATATTTTTGGCCGATTCAGATGAATCCTGATGCACCTGCCCTCTGGACACATTTTCCCCAAATACCCCATCTTCTTCAAGGGATCACAGTGTTAGCAGCTGAGAAGCCTGTAGAAGCCCACCTAAAATCCCTGAAGTGTGAAAGGGTAGCTTAGGGGTCTGATTTATAAGCATGCTCATTTATCTGAGCATACAACTCAAAAGAAGTCTCTATATGTCTTATTATTTTATCTATTGATTTTTTTCTTTGATTTTCTTTCTTTTGTAATTTTCTAAGTGAATTAGGAATTAACTCTGGTCAAGCAGAGGCCAGGACCCCTAGGTGACCCATTTTCTCCTTTGGGGTTTTCAGCACAGCTACTAAGCTACTAATGCCATGATCCTTTGAAGAAGAGAGCATTGGGGTAAAATGTGTCCAGAGGGGCATAACAGGTATTTTGTTTCTGAAAATGGGGCATCAGAAATACCTCCACAGGGAAACACTGGGACCCTGAAATGCACTGCTTTTAAGTGCTCCAGACCAGTGCCCCAGGGTCTGAAAATAAGTGCAGGAGTTGCTATATTACACTGCCAACTCAGGTCATGGCACCAGCTGTCCAGGGTCTATGTCCCCACTGAAGCAAATATGAAGAAGCTGGGCGCAAAGCCACATGAGAAAGGCATGTGGTTCATGTGGCACCACATGAACATAAGGAAGTAAATCTGGGCCCTATATCCAAAATTGGAAGTGGAACTAAATCTGCTTCCACTGCAACTGCGGCAGTGCAAGTCCCTAGGAGGCTGAGGGTTACTTAACCCTGGCCCTTTTTAAACCCTACCTCTAACCCATATCCCTAAATATTCAATATATAATATATTAAATACATGCTTGCAAGGTATAGCATGCATGAGGTATATTGACTACAGAGCTACATAGACTGAACAAAAGACTTACAACCCTAACCAAATAGGTATTCTACCCTGGACCTTTACTATATAAAGCACTCACAGAAACAGGACATGGGAGATGGGAGATGGGAGATGGGACACAGGACATGGGACATGGGACCTGGGAGATAGGACATGGGAGACGGGAGATGGGAGATGGGAGATGGGAGACAGGAGACAGGAGACAGGAGACAGGAGACAGGAGACAGGAGACGGGAGATGGGAGACAGGAGACAGGAGATGGGAGATGGGAGATGGGAGATGGGAGACAGGACATATCATGATGGAATATGGGAACTATGTAGCAAATAAAAGACCCTTGCACCTAGAATGATGAGCGAAGTGAGATGGGCTCCCCTAGTCCTTATGTAACATGGCTGGAAAAGCGCTGATTTTGGGCTCTGCAGTCAGCCAGCTGGATATCCACAGGTATCCTTGGGGTGGGAAAAGAGGGATTAGCTAAGGATATAATGGGGGGAGGGTTATCTAATACTTGTACTAATAACAACTAATATAAGGCACTATTAGGATGGTAATATCTTGCTGACTTCTACATCTCCATCACTCATGAGAGCAGGGATGTGTGGTCTGGCAAGCTACGCTGACCACTACATCTCCATCACTCATGAGAGAGACTGGAGATGCATTAGTACTCATAGATAGCTTGCCTTAGAACCACACTGACCCCACTCATGTGCAATCTCAGGCATCACACCACTAAATTTCATGATATTTTTGACAATGTTACAACACTCTGATGAGAAAAGATGGTCTAGCCCAAGACTTTGGGTGACAAGTACTATCAGTTGGGGGTGGTAGAGTTACCGGTGGAGCTTGAGGAGCTGCTAGAGCCAGCAGGTGCTGTAGTGCCTGCCACAGCAGTGCCTGTGAGGAAGGCAGCATTCACACCATCATGGGCCCACTTGCCAATACCACTGGAGTGAGTATAATCTGACAAAAGGGGTTAGCTATGAGCAAACACTTGAGACATGGAGATGTAGTGGTTGGTGAAGCCGCTGACCACTACATCTCAGAGAGAAAAACAGCTCACAAATGAGTGCAATGACAACTGCCACAAAGACCAGGATCAAGCAGATCCAACCACCAGTGGTACACCTGCACAACCTCAGATGGAACCTACATCCAATTGATCTCTGGATGCCCCTCCTGCACCCCACACAGTACCCTGTATTACTCAAGCAGCAGTCAGCAATCATACAGCTGATGTTGCCCACTCCCATGCAGAGCTTGAGCATAGTGTTGCAGCAGCATTCACCAGCAGTTTGCATGCAGATCTTGTGCTGGCACAGATAAATCTTGTCTTCATAGTTGAACACCATGCTGTTCAAAAGCTCAGTGGCATTGTTTGTGCTGGTTGTGTCCGTAGCAGCATTGGTGGTTGTTATGTCAGGCTCAGGGGTATAGGTATACTGCCCATGCATGGCCTGGCAATGAGTTAGCAAGGTATATGTGCCTCGAGACCATTCTATGCACCACCAGATCAAAGTTCCACCCCTCCAGCATCACTTCCTCCTGCATGATCTCTCTGATCATCACCCTTTCCACTGGCCCGGCCTCCTTCATCCCATGCATCAGGCAAGCCAATGAGCTCACAGGTGGCATATTCTCTCCTCCGGAAGCCATTCCTCCCCCACTAACACTTCCTGACAGCATAGACATATCTTGATTTGTTGACTGAATAATCTAAGAGCAGGATCAGTACCGTAACAAATGAGGAAAAGGGGGATGCATACTGGTTGATGGTGGGCTGAAGAAAGGTGTGATCCTGCTGTGTGCCCTAATCCAGGGGCAATGCACTTATAGGGGTTCTTGCACAGTGGATCTCTGTACACATGTTTGTCTGTAAGGCTTCTCCAAAACAGCCTATACTGATAATTCCTTGTGCTGTTTCTACTTGATCTATCTATACAGAGAGTGCATACATATTGGAGTGTATGCAATGTGTTATGAGTGATGGAGTTGTATTAGCTGTTGGCATAGCTTACTGGACTGCACATCCCTGCTCTCATGAGTGATGGAGATGTAGTGGTCAGTGTAGCTTGCCAGACCACACATCCCTGCTCTCAGAAAGATGGAGGTGTAGTGGTTGGCATAGCTTGCCAGACCACACATCCCCACTCTCATGAGTGATGGGCATCGCTTCAGGCTCTCCTTGATGACAATTGTTTCAGTGAACTTCAAGGGTGCTCAAACCCCCATGTGACCTGGATTCTTGACTGTCTTTCATACTGAATCTGCACAATTGTACTGATGATATCCAAGATAGTTTCAAGTAGTTTCAATTGGGCTATCCTAGGACTATCTGCATGTAAAGTGCAGATTCTCTGGTGAGGACAAAAAGTCAACAGGGTCCTTTGTTCAATGTCTTTCTCTGTGTGATGGAATGTAATAATTCCATAATATCAGGATGGCATGTGTTTATGCCTCATGGTCACTTGGACATGGAGGCAAACAGTGGCACAGCATGCAGATTCATATCACCCCAGCACACTCCACTTGCTCCTATCCCCCTCTCTCAAGATTATAATAACCACCTTCTCCTTGACCAAAGCCACTACACATCATACTCTACTCATGCAGAAGACTGTGTGAGCAGAGTGTCCTCAAGATCTGCCCCGGTTTTGATGTTGTCACAGGATGGAAGAAATGACAAACAGAACCAGTGTTGAAGTGTTGGACTTCAGGGCTGAAGGTGCACATTTGTGCACCTTGAAAGGTCCTTCCACCCCTCACTCACATCCTTTTCAGCCCAGAACACAGTAACCAACCATGAAAACATCTCTCAGCACACCCAGCCTTTGGCTGACACAAAGGCTGCAAGCTATGCTGACTGCTACATCTCTGTCACTCATAACACTCATGCATCCTCAGATGCAAAGGCTGCAAGCTACGCTGACTGCTACATCTCCCCTGAGGATGCCAAGCCCCTGAGGCTCAGCCATATGCTCAGTTGTGAAGACTGGTTTGCACTGTCAAAGAGAAGCAGCAGTCTTCATGCATATAACAAAGCAGCTGAGGAGCTTGGTGAGATCCATGGCAAGATGATTGTGAATATGGTTGCAGACTTTGGCAAACATACTTATCAAGCATGCTCTGATGTCATGTCCTATGCGGGGAACTGGTTGTACAATGATTTGACTGCCATGGTGCATGTATTCTGACATCAATATGCCTTTGAATCCTCACTGTAACCAGCCTTATGCTGCTCAACTTCTTCACACTGTCCAATTATAGATAGCAATGAAATGAAATGCTCCTCATTGTGTACATCCTTCTGCAGCTCATGAATTCACTCATTCATGTACATCAAGATACTAAGCCTTGTTGCTCCCAGAATGCAAGGCAATGGATGAGGGCACAGCAAAGATGTCTTCCTTGCCTCCCACAGCACCAGCTATCACTTCCTCAGTCTCCTGAGCACCCTCCTCAGGTACATCGGAGAGCACAGACTCATCCATGTGTCTTTTCTCCAGTTGATGAGGACAGTTGTTGTGACACAAGGTGCTGAGACTTGGTGACATGGTCAAGGAAGATAGCACCAATCTCAAACGCTTGAGAGATTGATCTGTTCCAAGCTTTGGTGTAACTTTGTGCTGCTGCCAAATGTAAGTCAGTCATCTCTCAGCCATTGATGAGAGAGAAGGCAGCATACAAGGTCTTCAATATCACCATCAGAGCTTGCCGCACTGCCAGACAGCCACCCATACAGACCCTTTGGGGTGAAAACATACTTGTCCTCCTTTCTCTCTTCTCCTCCAGAATCCATGTTGAGGTCAGAGTAGGGAGTCTTTGTCTTGTGGTCAGTCTCATTTACATTCAGGATGACATGCTGGAGGGATACAGTCAGCTCAAAGGGGCTAATGGCAGGGGGAGGTTTGTACCACATGCTTGAGTGTGTTGACATTCACTTCAATGAGCACAGAATCATAGTACATTATAGTCCACATACTAGTTGCCATCTTGGGTGTATATCATTGATCAAGGGAGGAAGAAAGCAAATTGCAGGCTTGAGATCACTGACGTAGTGATAACAATGGCACAGCTTCCAATGGAATGAACCCTCCCTTCCCTGACCTGCAATATTAAGTAAGCTATACTCATAACTCTGCAACACATTGCAGGGTTGCGATATAAGATCTCTTGTCCAGCAGACTATACTATCTAATAGCTCCATGGCAGATATAACACAGGGTAGTTTCTGCTCCTCCTACTCTCGCATTGTGCTCATATCAATACAGATTTTGAGTTCAATGAGAGCAGCACTTGAGGAAGATGCCTGGTGCGTAGAGGAGGAAGCAACACTCAATTTCAGTGTCACAACCAGCTCTATGCTCATGCTAAGACTCATTTGCACCAATGAGTGAGCAAATTGATGCACTTGCTTGATGTTCAGAAGAGTAATCAAACCTGATGTCTAACCAAGGGAGTTCACCAAGAAATACTAGATGAGGCTCAGATCCCCAACTTCAGTTCCCTTGATTTGCCCATGGACTGGTTATCAAATGACCAAGATACTGAGATGACAGCAAGCAATCGAGTAGACATGTATTGGGGGGTTGATGGGGAGCCACTGGTCTTTGGTAGGGGTATGGACCTCAATCACTGAATTCAAGAAGCAAACAACATGGACCTACATCAACTGGAACTTCTCCAATACCATGACCTACTCCGTCTAGACCATGACTCTGCCAGAGACTGGGAAGAGACTGAAGGTGCATATTTTAAAGCTCCATTCACTGCAGTAGTCCTTACTGGTCTTGGGCAGAGCATACAGTCTTCAAGCTTTTTGGGCCACATGTAGAGCCATCTTGGTGGCTGTACGCTAGCAAAGAAGTAAGTAAAATTCCATGCTGCTCTCATGAGAGATGGGGATGTGCAGTCTGGTGACCTACGCCAACCACTACATCTCCATCTCTAAGAGATGGCATATTAAATCAAGTGCTGATCTCTATCCAGCTCTTCCTCCTGGATGTGCTCTTCCACCTTCACCACATCTACTTCTCAGTGGAGATGCAATTGCTTGTCATGTGTCAGGGCACCAGCTCATTGCTTGGTCAAGAGACATGACTAAGCCTTTATGACAT